CTCTCTCACCACTCCAAGCACAATGAGGTCGTTGAAGAATCCACTGATTGACATAGTCCATCATAAAGTCTCCATTGGCCCAGTTTTTCACTGCCAACATATTGCTGAGGTGGTTGATTGACTTGTTCTGTCCTCTGTCTTATGTGTAGGAAGACACTGTGACCCTAGAAGGTCAGTGAGCACAGGATTACAGTTGATTGGATAATATTTATATGAAAACACCCAAATGGCTACCTTTTATATTCCTGATTGGATATCATTTGTATAAAAACACTCCATGTGGGCCCGGCGCAGTGGCGCAAGAGGTTAAGGTCCTCGCCTTGCACGCCCGGGATCCCATATGGGCGCCGGTTCTAATGCCGGCAGCCCCGCTTCCCTTCCAGCTCCCTGCCTGTGGCCTGGGAAAGCAGCAGAGGACAGCCCAAAGCTTTGGGACCCTGCACCCACGTGGGAGACCCGGAAGAGGCTCCTGGCTTCGGATCGTCATAGCATTGGCCACTGCGCTCACTTAGGGAGTGAATCACTGGACGGTAGATCTTCCTCTCTGTCTCTCCTCTCTGTATATCCGCCTTTCCAATAAAAAAATAATAAAAATAAATCTTAAAGAAAAAACAGTTGAATGGACCTCATGTGTATGACAACACTTGGTGGAATATACAAGACAAAAGGAGTTCCAAACAAAAGTATAGAAATAGCTAATGGGTTTTGTTGATAAGCTCAATACCTCCTCCCTTATCCCATATGACCCTCAATGTATAAAGTCTGATGCCACTAACAAACTTTGGCTTTGACCATCAGTCAGGGTCCGCACGTGTTATTATTGGCTCTGTGCACCAAGTCCATCGCTGTGGGACAGTGACAATGATGGTTAGGGTTCTGAGTCCGGAAGTGCGATTGGGGGGCTCCCCAAAGAAACTTTGTCTGAGGTGTTCCCAGACCAGATTCTTGTATGTACTAGCAAGCACAGGACCTGGCACAGTCCATTGTCCTGATCAGCTGGTGGTTGCAATTGCTGGGTTGGTTCTGTTTTCATCCCTGTCTTCCATTGGAACCAACGGGTACTACAATAATATTTATTTTTCCATTTTTCATTTTCTTCCAATTGATTTGATCCCAAGGATATTAGTTCCCTATTTCAGTAGAAATATTTGGAGTAACAATTTACTACTAGTACAGTTTTATTGCAACTTACTATTTGGAGTAACAAATTCCTTCAAAGCTTAGTGACTCAATGTAACAAATGATCTTTCACATTGGTCCTTAAGGTCAGAAATTCGGAAGCAATTTAGCTGAGGGATTATGGCTCAGCACCTCGCAGAAGGCTTCAGTCAACTGAAGGTTTGACTGGGCTGAAGACCGATTCCTAGTACGACTTTCTCACGCGGTATTGGCAAAAGGTCTTGGCTACTCATGGGTTGGTGAGCATTATCACACATGGCACGTTACCTAAAAGGAGCCTGTGGTGTATTACTAAACCTCAGAAAGAGGTATAACTTGGATAGTATATTGACTGCATAGAACAATCCTAACACAGTGTGAGAAAGAACTATATAAAGCTATGATAGATTGAAAGTCAGCTTGCCTTCTGCAACCACATCAAAGAAGTTTATCCTTGCTCTGACCATAACGTGGACGGGGAGAGGGTCTGAAGATGAAGCACTGACAAGAGACCAGTAGAAGTCTCTCCAAAGTCTCTATTGCTTCTTCATCCCTCCTTATACGCTCTCTCCCCTCCTAATTGAGCCAGGGAATTGGATACAAATGAGTCCAATTAGTCTGGGTGTTTTTAGCTACAGTAAGCCCAGTTCCTGTTCTGGCCCAGCTTAACGAGCACTAATCAACTCAGCCTACAACATATCCTTTTTAAATTAGGAATCAAACCATTTATATCAAGGGGTTGGCACTGTGGCCCTACTGGTTGAGCTGCTACCTGAAGTGCTAGCATTCCACTTTCAATCCAGCTCCCTGCTAACACACCAGGGAAAGCAGCAGCAGATGGCCCGAGTCCTCGGTCACCCGCCACCAGTACAGGAGACCTGGAAGAAGCTCCTGGCTCCTGGTCTCAGGCTGGCTCGGTCCTGGCCTTTGTGTCCATTTGGAAAGTGAAACAGCAACTCTACATTTCAAATATAAAAACAAATCTTTAAAAATAGTTACATAACAACTGCACTAATGTTGCGGGGTGCGAGCGAGATCACACCAGACATGTCTATGGTTTATTAAGGAGTCTTTATTAATCTAGCTTGGTGACAATAGAGCACAATAGCAAATCACAAGTCCATATGGCAATCCAACCAATCATAATCCAACCAAACATAATCCAAAGAGGAACAATTGGTCATTATCCTTACATCCATCCATTAAGCTGAAGACCTATGTCCCAGCTTTGCCAACAATATACGTTGTCCTAAGAGACATGCGATGAATAACCTGGACACACAAAGCTGCAGACACTCACCTTTCCCTGGCTTCTCTGCCCACATTCCATCACTGCTAGGTCTCACCTCTCTTGGAACTCCTCAACAGTTCTGAATTGCTGCCAATCTTGCCGTTCCAATCGCGATGAAATCTATTCAGAGTCCACTGGCTGACATAGTCCCAATCTTACAAACATTTAAAGAAACTCCTTGGGGCCCAGTGCAATAGGCTAATAGCTAAATATTCACCTTGCATGCACTGGGATCCCTTATTAGTGCCAGTTTGTGTCCTTGCTGCTCCACTTCCCATCCAGCTCCCTGTTTGTGGCCAGGGAAGGCAGTAGAGAATGCCCACACTTTTGGACCCTGCACCCATATGAGAGACTCAGAAGAAGCTCCGGCTTCAGATCAGCTCAACTCTGGCCACTGCGGACACTTGGGAAGTAAGTCAGTGGATGGAAAATCTTTCTGTATTTCCTTCTCTCTCTAGATCTGCCTTTCCAATAAAATAAAATTTAAAAAAGAAACTCTACCTTTATTCCAACAGATGTTTGACCCAATCTATTAGTTCATCTAATTCCTTACAGAGACATAGAAATTAAAACCACAACGAGAAATAACTTCTGTCCAGCTAGATCTTCCTTCTGTTGGCTCACTTCTTAAATGATCCAATGGTCTGGACAGGTCAAAGCCAGAAGTCAGCAGGTTCCTCCAGGTCCGTCATTGAATGCAGGGATCCAAGCAGTTGGACCATCCTGCAGTGCTTTCCCAAGCCATCATCAGAGAACTGGGCTGGAAGTGCAGCACCCAATACTTGAACTGACACCTGTTTGGGATGATGGTGTCACAGGTAGCAGTTTAAGCCAGTATGCCACAAGCCGGCCCCCAAAAGGGATTCTTATGCAGACTTATGGGAATGAAAATTGTTGAGAAAAAGGCACAGACCAGAGAGGAAACAGGCAGCAAATTCACAACTAGATCAGATTTATTAAAGTTTAATAAACCCACAGAAGAGGCGAATTACTGATGTGCAGAGAGAAGCAGCATATGACAGAGCCCGGTCTCCCAGCAGGCTGCGCTTGTTGTAGTTTGAGGGTCTTGGAGTGTTGAGAGGGTAATGGAGAAATGGGAGGAGGGCGGGCGCTGGAGTAGCTCCGGGGTCACTGCCTTCCCTGGTTCTCACTCCCTGGGAAGGAGGGCTGCGAGGAAACACAGAGGGAACGGGATAGAACAATAGACACTGGCTGTTCTGGCCCTTTAAGGTCCCACTGCCTCTGCTTGCTGTTTGAGTCATGTGGCTTGGAACCAGGATAGCTGTGTCATCGGAAACTAGTGATGTCACTGTGGAAAGCAGTATGGAAGTTCCTCAGGACATTCACATAAGATCTTTGAAAACTTACATTATCTGACAAGTAGGCAGCGTGACGTTTCTGAGTAGAGTGGAAAGTGTGTTGGGCTTTTGGTGTAACCATTAACATGCTGCCAGCAATGTTCACGGTTCCTAGCAGCGTGCCTGGCCCAAGTTCCGGTTCTTGCACTCTTGATCTAGTTTCCAGCACATGCATATTCTGGAAGGTAGTGCTGAGTTTAAGTGCTTGGATTTCTGCCTCCCAGATGGAAGACCCCTCTTTGTTCCGGCATGTGCCTCCGTGGCGTCCAGCCAGGCCATTGTGGGCACTGAAGGGAGTTCATGAGCAGAGGGAACTGTCTTTCAAGTAAAATAAAAAGCAAAACATTTTATTTTTAGAAAAGATTTATTTATTGTTTTCATTGCAAAGTCAGACATACAGAGAGGAGAGACAGAAAGGAAGATCTGTTGGTTCCTTCCTTAAGCAGCCACGGTGGCTGGAGTTGAGCTGATCTGAAGCCAGGAGCCAGGAGCCAGGAGCCTCTTCCAGGTCTCCATGCAGGTGCAGGGTCCTGAGCTTTGGGCTATCCTCCACTGCTTTCCCAGGCCACAAGCAGGGAGCTGGATGGGCAGTGAAGTGGGGCTGCTGAGATTAGAGTCACCACCCATATGGGATCCCAGCGCACTCCAGGAAAGGACTTTAGCTGCTAGGCTACTGTGCCAGGCCCCCAAAATAAAACACTTTAAAATAAAACAAAGAAAACCCCAAGTAATATCTGAAATCCCAGAATGGTTTAAAATCTTCACAGTTCGCTGTGTTTTGACTAAGGGGCAAACGTTTTATGAGTTTAGGGGCTTCTGAAAGGAAGGATTTTTGAATGTCAGCTTAAAAAGTGCAAAGTCAGTAAATATTTGCCCAGTAGTGGTTGCAGCGTCGGTTGGAACCGCTTCATCAAACTTCATAAACATGCAATGTTTTCTTTTTTTTAAGTGCTTAAACCAAGCGCGAAACAAGTTTTTGTTTGTTTCAGTTTGACGAGAAAAGGGACCAGAAAGCAACCGACTGGACAAAAAGCCAGGATCCAAAGTTTGTCAGTCAGCCTCGCCAGGAGCGCAGCCGGCGCCTGCGCCTGCGCAGTCGCGTCACGACGCCGCGCGGCCGCCCCGCCTCCGCTGCCCAGTTCCGCCGGGCTGTGTTCCCGGGGCACCGGTCCGATGTCTTTCCTTCCGTCCGCGGTGGCTCACTGCCCCTGCGATGGCGTCTGGGCTGGTGCAGCTGCTCCGGCAGGGGCCTCGCCGCCTCCTGGGCCCTGCTGGCCCCGCGCTCGCCCCGCCGGCTCGCGGAGTGAAGAAGGGCTTCCGTGCCGCCTGGCGCTTCCAGAAGGAGTTGGAGCGCTGGCGCTTGCTCCGGTGCCCGCCGCCGCCGGTGCGCCGGTAGGAGCGTGCTGCGGGAGGGCTGGGGCGTGCGGTGTGGACACCTGTGGGAGGTGTGGACACCCACGGAATGCGTGGACACCCGCGGGCGGCGTGGGCACACACGGAATGCGTGGACATCCGCGGGATGCGTGGACACTCATGGGATGCGTGGGTGGGTGGCGCGGACACCTGTGGGATGTGTGGACATCTGCGGGAGCGTGTTTTTGGCGGGGTGCACACGTGCGGGAATGTGCTGGACGTGCCGTGGCCTCCTGCTGTGGGGTCGCTGGTGGACATGGGGTGCAGGGGTCCTGTGTCGTCAGGCTCAGGTACAAGGGCAGTGCATGCCCACGGCAGCGCAGCGAGGGGAGGTTAGGTCCAGCGGCAGAGAACCTATTTTAGGTGTGACCTTTTTAGCATATGACTTCACTATTGGTTATGATTGTGAACTTACCTCCTGCATATGAATTGCAACCACATGCTGTCGACAGTAGATTATCTCATGGTTGATTTCAGGAGCAACTTTCAAAACGCCATAAGGTTCAACATCAGATAATGTATTTACTGTTCAGGACCTCAATCTGTGTTATGAGTTAGGTTTCATACCAAGATATAAAATGAAGTTTTTTTTTTATGATTTATTGATTGTTATTGGAAAGGCAGATTTGCAGAAGAGGAGAGAGCATCCATTGGCTCGCCCGTTCACTCCCCAAGTGGCCACAATGGCAGGAGCCAAGCGCTCCTTCCAGGTCTCCCACGCAGGGGCAGGGTTGCCACGAGGGAGGAAGGAAGATAGCCGGCTGGACCTCTGGTGTCAAGCATGCCCGCGGCTCGTGGTAGACCAGCTGGACGCTGTTCCCGCTTCCGCAGAGGCAGCAGGTGGTGGCCCAGCTGGCCGGTTCTTGCCGTCCACAGAGGTCACTCGCCTTGAGTTCTGGGTGTTTGTTGAGGGACCGTGTACATGGGACCGTGTGTCTCCCTCTTGACCGACCGCCTCACACTTCCTTCCAGGTCAATTAACATTGAAAAAAAAAAGTTTTGAATTTCCTCTTAGTAATTAATGTTACAATACAGTGCAAAAACATTTTTTAGATATAGGTAAGGAAAACTATTTCTTACGAAAGGAGCTAATGCAGTCACATACTGAAAAGAAAAGCAAGGCCCAGCACAATGACTCAGTTAGCTAAAATCCTCCCATTGCATGTCCTGGGTTCCCATTTGGGTGCCAGTTTGTGTCCTGGCTGCTCCGCTTCCCATCCAGCTCCCTGGGAAAGCAGTCGAAGACTGCCCAAAGCCTCGGGACCCTGCACCTGTGTGGGAGACCTGGAGGAAATTCCTGGCTTCAGATCAGCTCAGTTCAGGTTGTTGGGGCCATTTTGGGACTGAACTAGCAGTTGGTACATCTTTTCTCTCTGTCTCTCCTCCTCTCTGTAATTCTGTCTTTCCAATAAAAATGCATAAGTTTTTTTTAAAGGTTTATTTATTCTTATTGGAAAGGCAGATATACAGAGAGGAGAAGAAATAGAAAGATTTTCCGTCCACAATGGCTGGAGTTGAACCAATCCAAACCCAGGAGCTTCTTCTGGGTCTCCCACGCGGGTGCAGGGTTCCAAGACTTTGAGCCGTCCTCGACTGCTTTCCCAGGCCACAAGCAGGGAGCTGGATGGGAAGTGGAGCTGCCAGGATTATAACCGGAGCCCATATGGGACCTTGGTGCATCCAAGGCAAGGACTTTAGCCACTATGCTATCATGCCAGGCCCAAGTAAATTAAAAAAAAAAAAGAAAGAAAGTAAGAAAATAAGAATAGTAGGCACTCAACAGTAGGGAAAGAGCTTGGTGAGTGTTCCAGCACTGGCCCGGCAATCCTCAATTCCACATCCCCTCAGGTAAGAGTTCCCCCAAACATGAGTAGACAGGCTGCTCTTGCTGCCTGCCTTGTCTCACAGGGATCAGAAGGGCAGCAGGCGGCTGAGCGCTCAGGGACCCCAGGGACCAGAAGGGCGTGCCACGAGGAGCCCTCTCTGTCCCTTGGTGAGGTGAGAACAGCTTGAGCCTTGAAAGCGTCTTAGTAATGATGCTTTAACCATCTCTTTCCATTTTTACGTTTTTAGTTCAGAGAAGCCCAACTGGGATTACCACGCAGAAATACAAGCCTTCGGGCCTCGCTTGCAAGAGACTTTTTCCTTAGATCTTCTGAAAACCGCATTTGTGAATCGCTGCTATATTCAAAGCGAGGAGGCCAGACGCCAAAAGCTCGGGGTGGACAAAGAGGCTGCCCTGCTGACCCTGAAGGACAACCAGGAACTGGCGGAACAGGGGGAGCGCTTCTCCCGAGCCTGCCTCACGCAGCTGCTGGAAGATGAGTTCCCAGACTTGCCCGCGGAAGGCATCCAGAGTCTGGTTGACTTCCTCGCTGGTGAGGAAACCGTGTGTCACGTGGCGAGAAACCTGGCCGTGGAGCAGTTGACCCTGAGCGCCGCCTTCCCCGTGCCGGCCGCGGTGTTGCAGCGCACGTTCTTTGCCGTCCTCGGAGCGCTGCTGCAGAGCAGCGGACCCCAGAGGACCGCCGTCTTCATCAGGGTGGGTGGTTACTCGTCCTGCATGCTTGGCTGGGCTTGAGGGGAAGAGAAGTGGGTTGTGAAATTCCCTGAGGTGTGTTCCTTGGAAATGTCAAGGCCGTTAAGCAGTGGATCCTCAGGGTCAAGGGCGGTGCGTGGTCAGTGCTTCCTGGGTGTTCCAGGAGTGGGTGAGGGCCGAGAACGCTTTGCAAGGACTTAGCAGGTTGGGAACTTCATGCTGAATTAGCAGCTGCTGTTCGGCTCTTGTAAGTCCCCGGGAAGTACAGATTTTTGTTAACCAGGAGCTTAACTCAATATTTTTTTTATGTGTAATTGGTATAGCTTGGTTGTTCTGGAGTTTATGAAGTGGGAGCAGTTTAACCATCTGCTGTTAGAGAACAGTTTTTTCTCATGGCAAAGAGGCCACATGATCGCACTGAGTCCTGAGAAGGTCTCGATTCAAATGCTTGACTGTCAGATCCTTGGATTTCAGCCCTTGCTGTGTTAATCTGCTTGTTCCGTGTTTGTGCCAGGCCTGGTCACCTGCTCGGGAGGGATACCTCACTGACCGGCAGGTTGGCCTCTGTTGCTTGGTGACAACTGCCTCCTGTCCTGGCTAGGATCTCAAGTAGGGTAGGCCACGCCTGCCTCAGACCCTAGTCCTACAGTTACAGCTTTTTCTCAATAAATTCTCATTAAGTCCTTTCTTAATTTCTAGTCTCTTTATCGTTATAGATTCTGTGGGATTTTAAAGGTGAAGAAATTTTGGTCACAGCTTTGAAAAATCTACAGGATACTCAAGAGACTCCTTGGGAAATGCATTTTTTTAGACCATCATTAGCAATTTCAGCTAAAGATCCTGTTAAACATTGACAGTCCGGATGTAAACCAGAATACCTCAGAAGCTTAATGGAAAATAAAATTGGAAAGCTAATTTATTTGCGTTACAAAGTTTTTTGAAGTCCATGCACATGAAGGATCTTCATGTTTATGTTTATGAAAAATGTGTTATTAAAAACCTGTGCAAGAAAATTTTAGTACTAAACTTTTATTTCGATTTTCCCTGAACTGTAAAAAAAAAAAGAATTTTTTTAAAGATTTATTTGTTTTGGAAGTGTTACAGACAAGAAGATCCTCCATCTTCTAGTTTATGACCCATAGGGCTGCAGTGGCCAGCACTGGACCAGGCGGAAGCCAGGAGCCAGGAGCTTCAGCCAGTCCCACTTGGGTGGCATGGCCCACATACTTGAGCCCTCTTCCACTAGCTGGCAGAAGCTGGATTGGAAATGAAGCCACTCAGATGGACAGATGGGTGTCACAGGTGGCGGCTTGACTAGAACTTTCTGTAGTGTCTGGTGTTTATAAGTCTTCCTTAGAATCCACAAGTTGGAACTGTAGTATTTCCTTCATTGATCTACTTGGTATTGACTGCGAGGCACTCTGCCTGGCCCTGGAACCAAAAGTGGAGTAGAAAGAGCCACAACCCGTTGGCGGATGAACTTACAGTGTGGGGGTTTTTTGGATTTGGGAATGCTTGCATAGGCTTTACTGCTTGAGGGTCCCTAACCCCGAAATCTGAGGCTGAGGATGCTCAGTGCTCAGCAATGTAGATTTTGTTTATTGTTAAGTTAGGAATACCCAACCTATAGCACATTTTTACTTTCTTTTAAAGTTCGGGACTTGTGTTAAAAATGTACTTTGAATTGACTCCTATGTTTCTACTAATTTAAATATTTAAACCATATTTTCTACATTCAGGATTTCTTAATTACTCAAATGACGGGAAAGGAGCTCTTTGAAATGTGGAAGGTAGTAAACCCCATGGGACTTCTGGTCGGAGAACTGAAGAAAAGGAACGTTCCCGCTCCCGAGTCTAGACTCACCAGGCAGTCTGGGAGCACCACGGCTTTGCCTGTGTACTTTGTCGGCTTGTACTGGTTAGTAAGCTTTTATTCTTAGTTTCTTAGCTTTGGCTGGAAGACATTTCCGTAACAGCCACATTGCATTGCAGATTGTCTAAAATCTCACCCTGTGATTGCCACATATTATCTGTTGACTGATGGCTCTCTTGCCAGTCACTCTTAGGGGAAGGTAAGCAACTTATTCTTAAAGTTTTCATGTTTTTAAGTTTTATTTTATGTTTACTTAGAATTGGCAGAGTTACAGTGAAAAGGAAAGAGTGAGCTTTTCCATCCGCTGGCTTGTTCCCCAGATGGCAGCTGTGGCTGGAGTTGAGCCGGACAGAAACCAGGAATCAGGAGCTTTCTGTGGGTTTTCCGCATGGGTGCAGGGGCCCGAGGCTTTGGGGCGATCTCCGCTGCTTTTCCTGGCCACAAGCAGGGGGCTGGAGCAGAAGTGGAGCAGCCGGGACATGAACGGCGCCCGTGTGGGATGTCCCCAACATACAGGTGCAGGCTTAGCTTATGACACCATGGCTGTGGCCCCAACCTGTATTTTTTTTAAATGAAAGCTTCTATGAGCCAGTCATTTATTATATAATTTATAATTATATAATTTGGGCACCTACATATTTCTGTTTAAAGATGAAAGATCTCTTAAATGTTAATTTGTTTTTGTTGGTAGCTTCAAATGAACCTGAAACGGGAAAACAAAGGGCTTAATTGTCCATGAAAAATATATAAATTGTACCATGTTGAGAGCTTATTCATTTTGTTAGTAAAAGTTGACCTGCCCTAAACTGATTTCAGATGTTTTTTGGTTGAAATATTAAATATAAACATGGTCTAAGATAAGCAGATTGCAATTCTGGTGTTTTTGTAATCATCCACGAAGGACTCAGTGGGAGAAGTGGCTTTTGGCCTGGAGGTTAAGGCTGCATTGTCCATCGGGGTGCCTGGGTGGAAAGCAGCCTTCGTCTCCTATCGTAGCTGCCTGTCGGTGCAGGCTGTGGGACACGTGTTGCTGACTGCCGTTCATGCTGCTGCCGCTAGCCCACAACGACTGGATTCAGTTTTCCCACCGTGTCCTGGGCCAGTGTCCGCCTTCCGGGGCATTTGGGGAGTAACCTGTGGATGGCGGCTGTCACTGCCAGTCCCTCTTGGTCTGTGTGCCTCTCCAAGAAGTAAACAATTTGTATAAAGCAATGGAAGATATTGCAAATAGTAACGCTTCATCTTAATTCAGATGTAAAGACAAATAATGAGATAGTGGTTTTTTTTTTACTCATTGACAAACCTCAAACACATCCTTTGTCAGCAGTTCACAGACTGCGACCTGGAAAAAAAAAAGTACATTGTTGCTGTGAGTAACTTTGGTAGAATACCAAGAGTCTAAATTTTCCCCACTCTTTGATTTTGTATTTCAGTGTTTTATTACCAGTCTTTTAAATGTATTTATAATTTTTATAATAAATTGATTTGGGGGGATGTTCACACAGCTAAGGATGCATGGCCATGTGGAGCACTGATGCGAGGGGGGGGAGGAGTGGAGGAGAGTGGGTGAGACAGCTGTCTTCAGTCTCCTTTTATTCATCTGGGGAGTTGGGAAAGGGCCGCTCCCAGCAGCCAACCACATCCCTGCCCTGGGATGGGAGACAGGTGCCCTGTGTCCCAGGGTCCCGGTGTGGAGCGTGTTCTGAGGGCACTGCTAAGGTGGTTTTCCTAGTTCTAAAATGCTGTTGAATTTGTTGCTCCAAGGATGAGGAAATCCTTGGAAGGTCCTTCCGCTGACACGAGCAACCTTTGAGTCAATTCGTCCAGACACTTGCTGTCAAAGCTTGGCCGGGAAAGATGTCCGGTTTGCTCTGTAGTCCGCGGTACTAAATGTCCTCCTCAGGCCTCAGTGAACTGGTTGTCGAGTCCCTCAAGGTCATCTGGACATGCTGTCCCTGCCCAGGCTTCATCAGCTGAGGAGACCCAGTTCTGCCATATGCACTGTATGGTCAGACCTTGGATCCCGTAATTTCCCTCATAGGTGGACAGTTTTGAGTCCAGTGTTCCAGACCCTGTCTGCTGGCATGCCTGTGTCTGACACCCATATATCTTCAAACACAAAAACAAAACGGGGCCCAGCAGTGTGGCCTGGCATCTAAAGTCCTCACCTTGCACGTCCGGGATCCCATATGAGCACCGGTTAGGGTCCCGGTGGCTCCACTTCCCATCCAGCTCTCTGCCTGTGGCCTGGGAAAGCAGTCGAGGATGGCCCAAAGCTTTGGGACCCTGTACCTGTGTGGGAGACCCAGAAGAAGTTCCTGGCTCCTGGCTTCGGATCGGCGCAGTACTGGCCATTGCGCTCACTTGGGGAGTGAATCATCAGACAGAGGATCTTCTTCTCTTTCTCTCCTCCTCTCTGTATATCTGACTTTGCAATGAAAATGAATAAATCTTTAAAAAACAAACAAAACAAAAAAGGCACCTATATATATATATTTTTTTTTTTTTTTTTTTTAAGAGGAGGAGAGGCAGAAATCTGCATCTGCTGGTCCACCCTCAGATGACCATAGCAGTTGGCCAAGCCAGTCAGAAGCCATAGCTTTATCCCGGTCTCAGATGAGTTCAGGAGCCCAAGTCCTCGGGCTGGCTGCTGCGGCTGTCCCGGCTGCTGGCTTTAATAGGGAGCTAGATCAGAAGTGGAGCGGCTGGGCCTGCAGCCGGTGTCCTATGGTTGTCAGCGTCACAGGCCTGACTTGCCATGCCACAACACTGGCCCCTAATTTTTTTTTTTATTCTAAAAGTTGATAGTATCTAAAGTATGTGTTGTTTGTGACTGTTAAGGTGCGACTCAGAAGGTGTAACTGTTTTCTGTGCTGTGTCTCATGCACCGTGTCATTTAGGGTGTTTGCGCTTCTTTGCAGTGATAAGAAGTTGATCGCAGAAGGACCCGGGGAAACAGTACTGCTTGCGGAAGAAGAAGCTGCTCGAGTGGCACTCAGGAAGCTGTATGGCTTCTCGGAGAACAGACGGCCCTGGGACTATTCCAAGCCCGTGGAGAAGCCGAGCGTGGAGAGGACCGTCGCTGCCAGCTAGCCGGGCGACGTGGCCCTCGCCTGGCCAGCCCGCCCCGAGGCCGACGTCCCCGGCATTCCAGGCCCAGCATGTTGGTCTTTTCTTCGTGCTTGGTCACTGAGATTAAATCCGTGTGAGTGACATGTTGTTTAAGTCTTGTTTGTTTTGTCCTCTTTTAAAAAAACATTTTCTTAAGAAATTTTTGGGAAGTCTTTCATTTTGTCCTCATATATTATTTACACAGTTGACTATTCCCCTCAAGTTTTGTGATGTCATAACTTGAGTGACGTATTAGGTTTGTTATAACACGAAGAAAAAAGTGAACTTTTCCTAGGGCCAGTGCCAGGGATATCAGTCCTCAGCCTGGAGGGCTGGCATCCCTGCCTGTGCCCTGGGAAAGCAGTCAAGGACGGCCCAGAGCTCAGGACGCTGCAGCTGCGTGGAGACCTGGAAGAAGCTCCTGGCTCCTGGCTTCCGGTTGACTCAGCTCTGGCTCTTGCAGGCGCTTAGGGAGTGAACCAGTGGGTGGAAGATTTCATTCTCTGTCATTTTCTCTGTAAATCTGCCTTCAAATAGAAACGAAGTAATTTTTTTTGAATAGTGACTCTTCCTAAATGTCCTGATGCAACTTAACTCGGTTTCCCCGAGAGTGCCAGGAAGCTGATGGATCTTGGCATGGGATTGGCAGTCTGTTACGGCGCTCCTGGAAACTGCCGATTTTAAGCAGATCATGACTTACATGCTCTCTACATTTTGTGTGTTTGAATTTTAAGCACTTTTAATATACCTCCTGGTAATTCAGTGTCTATAAAATAAATGGTAAATTTTATGGGAAAGGTAAATTTTATGTTTTAAGAATTAGGAAAATGAAATCCAAAAGCAGCTTAATGGAAAAAGGATGTATTTACCAAGTGAGTTTGATGTTCTGTAGTAACGGGTGCCGTGTGCTGCGCACCCTCAGACAGCAGAGCGCAGGCCTTCCGGCACTCTGGGCTCTTTAATGCTTTGTGTTCGGTTCAGTACTCCGACTCGGATTCCCCTTGACAGGTGTAGGTCTGCTAGTCATCGGGGGTAACAGGAAAAGCAGTTCCTGGAGATGAGAGGGGAGAAGATGTGAAGTGTTGCCACCAGCAACGCTTTTGCTGTGGAGTCATATAGGAGGGGAAGGACCCGGGCAGCTCCTTTCCTGAGACGGGGCACAGCAGAGCTCAAGTGCCCGCTCGGGGAGCTTGCTGCTACACAGCGAGCAGGAACCATGGGTGGGAAAGGTTGAAGGATAGCTTGGCTGGACTGCTAGGTGAAACCTTAGCTACTTCTCTTAAGAGGTAACAAGCCCGAGAACGCGGACCAAGCCTAGACCTGGTGGTGGCGAAACACCGCTGTTTGTCATCCGCAGCAAGTAGCTTCATAAGCATCCTGTTGGAACGAAGAGAAACGAGGCTGGGAAAGCTCTGGGAAGCAGAGCAGTATCTTTAAAAAAATTTTTTTTTTAATGCATAATACTGTTTATGTCGTTGAGAGGGATGCATGCCCCCGTGAGCCTCTGTCTAGGATGGACAGGGTCGAGGTGTGGAGCAAGGTGGGTGGGACAAGCATTTCAGGTTTCTTGTTTTTTTCCCCCCGAGTCCACAACCAGGGAAGGGAAGAGGGCCACTCCTTGCTGTCAGAGCACACCAGCACCCATGGGTGAGCGACAGTCATTTGATGGCACCTTTAGAGACCCCGATGGGACAAATGTTGCTACCTGAGTGGTTTTGACAGTCATGAGACTGGGTTGGTGTTACACCAGGGTTGAGAACATCTTCCCAAGCCCTGTTGGCTCTCCACAGCCACCGTAGCGCGTGCACAGACCGAGGCACTGCTGCAAAGCTTGGGCAGGAGGGTTGTGCAGTCTGTCCTGCTTCCTGCGCTCTGGATGAGCTGGCTCTCCACTGCACAGCAACCACAGCCCAGTCCCAGTACATGAACTCCGAGTTGGACCACATCCCTCGTGACTTTCCCTGGGGCCAGGGATTGAGTCCAGTGAGCAGTTGGAGAGCACTCCAGGGAACCGTCCCTGAGGTGGCTTCACACTTGTGTTCATCAATTAGTGTGGGGTCAGGTTAGGTCCATCACCTGCACCAGCCGAAACACGGATCAGGGATGCAGCTGCCTGGTGGGTTCCGCCCCAGCCCCACCTCTCACGCAAACTCATGGGTGCTGTGGCCTAGCCTAGCCCAGCCCACCGTAGGCACGAGCCTCACACACAGCAGGGTGCCACGTCTTAGTTGGGGCAACCCCAATAACCTCCAACTGGCCTGCACCCAGCCCTGGTTTTTGCACATGTATGCATGTGGTGTGGCCTAGCCGGTTCAGTGCTCCATCCCGTCTGGCTCTCGCATACCCATGGGTGCTGCAGCTTGGCTCAGCCCGACCCACCCCCTGACCTGACCCACATGTATGCTGACAGTGACGCTGTTGCCTTGTCCAGCCTTGCCCTCTCCCAGCCCTGGCTCTCATGCTCACCGGTGGGAGCTGCAGCCTCGTAGGGAAGGATTGACAGTTCTGCCAAGTCCTACGCCTAGGCTCAGATCTTGCACTTGCCAGGGTGTAGTGCAGTCCAGCCTGACATGACTTGGACCTACTCCTGGCACTTGCCATTGGTGCCACAGCCTGGGCTAACACACCGCAGCCTACTCCCAGCCCCACCCCCTAGAAGTGTTGGTGACCTCTGGTCTTGCCTGGCTTGGCCCATCACCATCCCCTGCTCTTGGGAGAGCTCACCGGTCCCCTCAGAATCTGTCCCCAGATCCGGTTCTCACATTCTGCTAGGTGCCGCAACCCAGCTGACGTGGCCCACTCCCTGCACCAACAGTCACAGGGGTCTCCTGTGGCTTAACCCTGTCAGGCAGACCCCCCAGTTCCAGCTTTCAGCTGCTCTGCTGGGTGGACGGTACTGCTCCTTAGCCCAGTTCTGGTTGCCTGACTTGGCCTTAAGGTTTCCCTCCTTAAATCACTCTGTCTCAGCTCCCTTGCCCACCTGCAAGTGTGGTGGCCTGGTCCATGGAATGCCCCAGAAGTCATTCCACATTTATCAAACACTTACCTTGGTAGCCCCTTCGCCCACGCACCCCCAGACCCCCCTCTCGCCCAACAGTCTGCAGTTCCCTTCCATGTGCCAAGGTCACACGCTTCCAGCGGCTCTGACAATTACACATCTTTAAGGAATCCAGGTGCTAACTTGATCATCCTTTCACCCCACAAAGACAGTGCAGTTAACAGAGAACATTCCAGATTGACCCTGCTTGGCTCAGTCTGCAGGGCCTTAACCTGTGTCTCTGGAGGGAGACGATCATTAGTCCATAGTTTTGTTGTTTTATCTTGAAACTTGGATGATGTATTTGTGCCATGAGAATGAACAGTGCGTACATTTGACAAGTGAGTGAGAGTAACATGTAGGTGCACTTTTGTGACAAGCAACACGCAGTGATCATTAAAGACACTCAGAAAGACTCCATGTCTTGGCCCAGAGCGGTAGTGTAGCAGCTAAAGTCCTCACCTTGAATGCGCTGGGATCCCATATGGGTGCTGGTTCTAATCCCGGTAGCCCTGCTTCCCATCCAGCTCCCTGCTTGTGGCCTGGGAAAGCAGTTGAGGATGGCCCAATGCCTTGGGATGCTGCACCCACGTGGGAGACCTGGAAAAAGCTCCTGGCTCCTGACTTTGGATTGGCTCAACTCCGGCTGTGTGGCCACTTGGGAAGTGAACCATCAGACGGAAGATCTTTCTCTCTGTCTTTACATCTGTCTCTGTATCTGCCTTCAAAATAAAATAAAATGAAATAAAATAATAAAATAAAATATCTCAAAAAAAAATTACTCCATATCCCTCTACCTTTAAACTTGGGTTGTTGCCCAATAATGAAATTCTCAAATTCTTTCCCACCTGTGCCCATTTTCTAGTTTCCAAAGCCGAGAGTGTAATTGCATAAAAATGTCCTCAGGGCTGGCATCGTGGTGCAGCGGGTAGAGCTGGCGCACGAGGCACCAGCATCTTTTGTGGACACCGGTTCGCGACTCACCTGCTCGACTCATCCAGCTCCTGACTCCGGGCTTTGACTTGGTCCAGTCTTGGCTACTGCAGCCATGTGGGGACTAAGCCAGTAGATGGAGGATTTGTATCTCTTGCTCTGTCTGTAGCTTTGCCTTTCAAATAAATAAATCTTTAAGAAAAATTTGAGATATTTTAACCATAAAAATAAAATTAATCTCCAAGGACTCAGTATACAAGCATTATACTTTTCTTTCTTTTTTTTGAAAATAAACATTTTTTTCAAAAATAAACATTTTTTCGAAAATAAACTTTTTTGAAAATAAACTTTTTTCACAAATAAACTTTTTTTCAAAAATAAGCATTTTTTTCTAAAACTTTTTTTGAAAATGAATTTTTTGCATTATCATTTTCAATTCACACTTTACTATGTGTGCAAATAAGTTGTGGATTATTATTTTCAAAATGTGTTATTAGATTGGGAGAACATGAACTACAATTTAGGAGAAATTTGAAATTAGTAATAGAATTCCCAAAAAAGGCAAAAATTATAGATGTTTTCAGCATTATATTACTTTTGGCCACAAGGTGGTGCTCTAGTCCCGTTCTGCAGTTTAGTGCCCTCAGCGCCATTATGGGAAAAGTATATACAAAAGTATGCATGCATATGGGCTATAATTATGGTGTAACACGGCGTTTCAAGGCCTTTTACAGCTGTCATGTCCTATAAGAACATCTGCAGCAGATAACTCACATGCCTCTTAGATGCTGTAAGAATTTGATGCGTGATCCAAGACAGAGATGTTTGAGTTGCTTTTATATCTGCTGGAAAGAAAACACTGCAGAGCCGTCATAGACAAAGACAATATGCTGTTCCTTTCTCCTTCCTGCCTTCCTAGATTGGGAGAAAGTGCACTACAGGGACTAGGGGATCCTAGTGTCCCAACTCAGATAGTGACATTCTTCCCGAGGACGTGGAGGGGTGGGGAGGCGGACAGCCTGCAGACTTCCCCAGCTGAGATGCAGCGAGGGCGCTCGGCTGGCAGCGGGTTCTGCATCCCCAAGCCTACCCTAGTTTGCGGCTGCACCTGACCCCTGCGTCCTCTCTGG